ATATTAAATTTTATTTAGTATAATCTGGATTACCCACAATGAATTCTGAACACTTAATAAAAAACAGAATGTAATTCTCTTTTTCTTATTCAGCGTATTACACCGAATTTTTATTGATTACCTCTTCTTCACAGGGACCTGCATAAGACTTTTAATGCAAACTTGAACGGGCAGATAAGACTTTCCTCAAAACACGCAAATTGTTGGGGCGCCTGGGTGGCGCAGTCGGTTAAGCGTCCGACTTCAGCCAGGTCACGATCTCGCGGTCCGTGAGTTCGAGCCCTGCGTCGGGCTCTGGGCTGATGGCTCAGAGCCTGGAGCCTGTTTCCGGTTCTGTGTCTCCCTCTCTCTCTGCCCCTCCCCCGTTCATGCTCTGTCTCTCTCTGTCCCAAAAATAAATAAACGTTGAAAAAAAAATTAAAAAAAAAATAAATAAATAAAAATTATTAAAATATAATAATGAACTAGAAAGGAAGAAATATTCAGAGGCTCCCAAACTATATGGATGTGGAAATACAGAGAAACAAGCTGAGCTTTAGGGACAAAGATTTTGAGGGCATTTGCTGAGTTTCAGTTTTATTAACCTTTTCCTGGAACGCTGAGGGGACAGAGGATAAAGCCTCAACCCAGGATAGGTTTTAAATAGGAAACTTTCTCTGTCAAGATGTTTATAATATATATATATATAACCACAAAGGACCAGCCTGCAAAATACAGCATACATCTCTACAAATTAATAAGAAAAAGTATGGGCAACCCAATAAAAATCAGGCAATGGCTTGGACAGGCATCTTTCCGAAGATGAAATACGAATGACCAAGAAATATTCAATAAAGAGGCTCAAACACATTAATATAATAGAGACGCAAATTAAAACCATAATGAAATACCACTTTTCATCCATCAGACTGGCAAAACTTAAATCTCCCAACATCGAGTACTGGCGAAGATACGAAACAGTTGGAATAGACTATGTTGTCGAAACACTAGTCTGAGTAGAAGTAGGTAAAATTATTTGGAATTTAAAATGTGAGGTGTGCCTACCTTTTGACTCAACACCAGAATCCTCAGTAACTATTCAAGTGAACCTCTCGCATTTAAAAATGTTCCTATTGGCACTAGTTGTGAAGGCAAAGAGTAGAAAAACTCAAATGTCTGTCAATAGCTAGGTAACTGAATTTTGCTATAGACAAGAACATGAATAAACTTCAGCATCAAAATGATGAGTTTGAAAAAAATGAGGTGACAGAGGAACACACATATATGAAAATGAAGCATAAACACATAGAAAAAAATATTTTAAAAAGGAAAGAAAGTGGTAAATAAAATATTGGGGATAACGATTAATTCTGAGGAGAAGAAAGGACCGCACAAGAGAATTCAAAAGTCATGATGTTTACCTTTGAACCTTTAGGGACAAAGCTGTTTAATTTTATTATTATCCTTTATATCATATGCAGACTTTTATAAGCATTCTGTTGTATGTATTCAACATTTAATAAGGAAAAAGGTAAAATAAATACAATAAACTATTTGCTATGGTTTTCTATAGATAGTGATTTAAAAAGAAAATTTTTTTAACGTTTATTCATTCTTGAGAGACAGAGAGACAGAGCATGAGCAGGGGAGGGGCAGAGAGAGAGGGAATCCAAAGCAGGCCCCAAGCTCCGAGCTGTCAGCACAGAGCCGGATGCCGGGCTCGAACCATGAACCGTTAGATCAGGACCTCAGCCGAAGTCGGACACCCAACAGACTGAGCCACCCAGGCGCCCCATGCAGGTAGTGATTTTTAAAGTTTTCCATATTTTCCAAATTATTCCCAATTGGTAAATGTTAACTATAAAGAAAAATAAACCTTAATTTTGTTCTTAAAGCATTACCTTTAGAAAGAAGTACCTACCCTTCTATTTCAGCCTCCTTTATTTTGGCTGCCTCCCTCACGGCTGAGTCCTTCAAAACTAACCCATGTATAGTACACTGGAGTTGTTGTTTGGCTTCAGGGCTGGATACAATCCCCAATTTCTCAGTAAGGTCCTGGATGTCTGCTATTGTGGACTGCAACTCCTCTTGTTTCCAGTGAGATATCTCCAGCGATTCTTCCGGATCAGCAAGGTCTATTCTATGGGATGCAATAATGGCTTCACGGGCAGTAAGGATCCCCATCGCCCTAGTGACTGCCTCGTTATAGCGTGTCATACTTTCATAAGCATCATTCAAGACATCCTGGTGAACAGGAGATGAAACACTGTGACAAAGCTGGCAAACTCTGGGGATTTTTATCATTCTTGAATTTTTGTAGTGCATTCATAATATGTCTGGGTCTTACAAGGGTTAGTGTCTCCTACTTAGTTTGGCAACATTATGCTAGCACATAAAGACCAATAACTTTCTGTTTGCATAAAGAAAAACTGCTTCCAAATTTGCTAAATCTACTCTAAATTCAAAAATACATCTCAGGCATCATGTCTAATGATACGCATTCCTGTTCTAGAACTCTTATATTAGACTATGAACTAAATAAAGCAATCGCATATATTTAATGTGTGTAGCTTTAACCAATATTTGTTGGGGGCATAAAAAGAAAACACACCCTCGCCAAGATTTCTTGTGTTTTCAAATAAATGGCTCTGCCACAAATTTTAGTTTTGAACACATCACTTAACGTATCCAGACCATAGTCTTCTTGCTGAAATAACAAATAGTTCATGTAAATAACTTTAAAGGTCCCTTCCTGTCCAGCTCTAATCCTATTATTTTAGAGATTTATGTCATTGTTCCTGGAAACTGTATTAAAATCAAATAAAGAAGTACTGAATTTACTCAACATTTGTTAAGTATCAATTTAAACATATTAGGATTCACAGTATGACCTTACATTTCTATAGCGTTTATACCTATCAAATATTGAAATATTATCTAATAACTCTTTAAATTAGTGCAGGGAGTTCATTTCCCCATTCTATAAGTTTAATGTGACAATTCTGAAAACACAGTGAAAGGCATTATATTAAGTACAAGTGTTCCAGCAATGCCTAAGCTATCTCTCCTAATTATTGTGGAAAAGGAGGCAGTATGTTGGACTCATTCTACAACACCAGAGGTCAGCAAACTTTTCTTGTAGAGGGCCAGACTAAATATTTTAGGCTTTGCCCGCCATCTGGACTATCACAACTACTCAACCCTGCTGGTGTAGCAAGAAAGCAGCCATAGACATTCTCTAAAGAAATGAGCATGGCCATGATACAATAAAACTTTATTTACAAAATCAGGCACCATGGGCAGATTTGGCCCATGAACCTTCATTTGATGACCCAAGCTCTAAAATCAGACAGACCTTGACTCGAATCCTGTTCTGTTCCTGATGCAGGAGCCTGAGAAAACTGTTGATGTTCTTGAACTTAAATTTCCTTATTTTGAAATACAGCTAATGATAGCACCCCCCCTCACAGAGTTGCTATGAGGATTAAAAACACAGTTATTCAGCACGGTTCCCAGACACCGTAAGTTCTAAATGGATGCGGAGTTATTACTTTATGTTATTTTCTCTACACTATATTTCTTCCACTATGCTTCACTATTTCTAAAAACACAAACAAACCAAAACCAAACTCTGTCTGAACTCAACAGGGGTTGCCAGGGGTATAGAAGTAAAGGCTTCACATTCCTCTTTCCTGTCTATAAAGCACTGTATTTAGATGTCAATTGAGGTGGGATTGTAAACTGGTCCACCGCAAGTTTCTTTTAAATGGCTATTCTATGGAGAATGTTCATGTAGAACCTATAACTGCTTAAGAAGCACAGATATTACCTAGAGTAAAAGCTAAAACCATGCAATAAAAAGAAATGCATTAACCACCTAATTGAAAAAAAAACCTACTGTGCGCAAATCAAGGCTTGTAGCAAGCTGCATGTGAAGATCTTCAATGTCACGTAATTTTGCCTCCACATCATTAGCTCCAGAAGAATTTTCTTCTCTTTGCTTCTCAATGATGGTCACAGCTTTCACGCTATCCATTTCTGCCTGAACTTGCTCTTGAAATGCTTCACAATTATCCTTCTCATTTTGAATATGTTCAATGTCCAAATTTATAAGCAAAGGCTGCTCTAACTGAGATTTTATCTGCTTCAAAACATGTAAGGAATTTTCCAGTTTGTCCTGAAAATTCTGTTCATTCACTTCTTTGGGTTGGGATTTTAGTATGCTGTTTTGGAGAACCTTGCGTAACTTGTCATTTTCTTCTGCATACAGCTTTATCCGTGGCATTTCTTTCTCTTTGAAGGTGTCATCAAAGGCCTTACTTTCATTCAATTTCTTTAGTATCTCTTGACACAAGCACATGGCTTTCTCAATTCTCCGATTCAAAATCTGAGCATCGAGCAAACTGCTTTCTGGTGAGGTCTGGGGCATTTCTAGCACTGCTTCGGCTCTTTTCTTAATTTGCAAATCCATAGCCCTCAATTTACTTAGTGATGCCTGATATCTGCCATGGTCTGCGACATGGTCTGCCAACTGCTTAATTTTTTCCTCGAGTTCCTTTTCTTTCTCAACTACTTGGGTGTGTAATTGGTCAAGTTGGGAACCATCCCAGCTTAGTCCTATACACTCAAACACTTCTTTGAGTTTCCGTACCTGTAGGATACTAGACTGAATACCAGTGAGTCGGTCTTTAAGGCCACAGAGCTCCTTTTCAACATCTTGATTTATTTCTTGATTTAGCAGCAGTTCGTTGTGCCGTATATGGTCAACCTCCTTCTGAAGCACAGATGTTTTTTCATGAAATTCTCTGTAAAAATGGATCTTGCGTTCCACTTCATTACATTTACTTTGAATTAATCTTTGCGTTCTATGGGCTCTAGTCTTAAGGTTTTTCAACTGGTCATCCAGAAATAATCTTTCAAACACATTTAGATCCTTACAGATGTTTGTTTGTTCCTGAAGGTGGGTCAAGATCACACTCTCCGCTTCTTGCAACTCCTTCTGAGAACTCATCAAAGTGACACGCTCATGTTCTAGTTCAGTTTCTGTGGAGGCTGTTTTCATCTTGGGATTTATCAGTGCTTCATTTTCCTGAAGTGAAAGTTGAACCTTCTCTATTACGGCAAAAAATCTGCTCCTTTCTTCCAATTTAAATTCTAATTGCTGTGATCTTTCCGTTGACTTTAAAACTAGCATTTGGTACTGATTCTGTAAGTCCTGTAGGAGGTGATTTAAATCATTGCTCTCATCTGCTGGAAGATTAGGAGTATTATCTTTGACCTCTTCAACCAAGGACTCCACAGCTTGGTGCTTATCCAGAATGCCATCATGTGTCATCTTGCACTTTCTGATCTGTGAAAGAATGTCATCTGGGAGAAGGCAAATGGTAGGAGCGAGTTCACCTAGCAGATTCTTGACCCACAGGATAATCTCTCTCATCCTGGTCCTTGTTTCACACATCTTGATCTGATTTTCCACCTCTGTGTTTAATGGCTCCGAGGCTTCCAATCGCTTCTGCAAATTATTCATTGCATCTTCCAAAGTGTTCTTTTCTTTTTCTCCCCAAATCCTCTCCATCTGAGATTCAGCTTGCCCCTTCAAAGCCAAAAATCTCTGCTTGATAGCCAGGAGTTCAGTGGCCAAGGCAACTGTGCCTGGGCTCCCCTCCTGTTCTGGAGAGTTCAGCCCGAACTGCTGCTGTTGCTGCAGAGAAACGTCAAGGTCTTGGATCTTACGCATGAAAAGTATAAATTCATCATTTTCTGCTACTTGCTGAGAATACTTCTTTCGAGCCAACTGTTCTACTTGTTCGCAACTACGTGCAAGTTGCCGGATCTGGCTTTCCGAAACCTTCTTATCCATGTCAGTCACACACTTTGATAAATTTTCCCATTCCATTTTCATCTTGCTTAAAGAATCTTTCTCTTTTTCTATCGATGCCAGGTAGTTTTTAATTTTGTCCAGATAGGCTGCACTGTCCAGTGGTCCCCTAGAGAAAGAAAAAAAATGGAGCTTGTTAATACACATCAACACGAGGTTAGAGTTCATGAAAAGAAATTAATTCCGCTCTGAATTCACAGAAGAGAAGATTAGGTTGTCTATAAAGCATTCTGTCTTTAAAATCAAAATCAGGACCTTGTTTAGTGTGGCTTTCAGTTAGTGTGTAACAATACAGAAAACTCACCTATAAAATAAGTATCGTAAAAATGCAGAACCACAGGAAGGGAGTGAAGAGGGAAGGGAACGATACATATGCAAAAGGACTTGGTAACTGTAAAGTACTCGCACAAAGGTGAGTCTAAGCCTAAGAAATTATCACAATGTCCAACCACTTCGTTACCATTTTACCGACAATAATGAATAAGAAAGTATAATCAGTCTCGTCTTTTGAATATAAAATTGTTTCCTCAAAGGGATATCACCGAAAGTAAACCCCATTTAGGCAAAAGTACAAAATCAAACTTTTTACTTTAAAAAAAAAAATTTTTTTTTAAGTTATTCCTACAGCCAATGTGAGGCTTGAACTCATAACCCCGAGATCAACAGTTGTTTGCTCCACTGACTGACTCAGCCAGGTGCCCGCCTCAACCTTTTTAATAATGACAAGGTATTTACACAGTAAGACTGTATCTACAAACCATTTGCTATTATCTTCAGAGCCAAAAAGAGTATATATATGTGAAAAGAAATCATTAGAATGGATATGTATTCAGTAGGTTCTGAACTATTTCAACCAATTATGCTGATACTGAACAAGTGTATACATAGAATATTTCTCTCCACCCCCATAGTTCAGAATAAAGTCTTGACAAAAAGAGTGCTGAATTCCATAAAATTTAAATCCATTTGGAAGATACTTATAGTGTGAATTAATTGTTTAAGAAATTAATTTGTAAAACATAATTTAATTATAAAATTAATATAAATAATATAAAATTTACTGCATGAAACAACAGTTTTCTTCAATGGCTTCCGTATGTAATTAATTTCCATATTGTACTGTTAAAATCATAATATCGTCTCATAGTATAAACTCTTAAAACCCTGGGCCTGTCCAAGGTAGTGCAGCCTATCTGTGCTTGAATAAAAAGAATGCAAGACCTAAATTGTTTCTTTTTTTTTTTAATGTTTATTTTTGAGTGAGTGAGTGAGAGAGAGAGAGAGAGACAGAGAGAGAGAGAGAGAGAGAGAGAGAATGAGCGGGGGAAGAGCAGAGTCAGAGGGAGACACAGAATCCCAAGCAGGCTCCAGGCTCTGAGCTGTCAGCACTGAGCCCCACGCGGGACCTGAACCCACCAACTGTGAAATCACGAACTGAGCTGAAGTCGGACCCTTAACTGACTGAGCCACCCAGGTGCCCCGAGTCCTAAATTCTTATACTTACACTTTTAGACTTTCCTTTTCTGTCAACAAGGCTTTCACTGAGGATTCAATGGCAGCAAGGCGATCCTGAAAATCCTTAAGGAAACAATATTGGCTTTCTTTATTTTTCTTCAAAGTAATAAGTGCCTGAAGCAGATTGTCCAAATAGTTCACTGAATACCCTGCGTTGTGAAGAACCAAGGCACTTGTATCTGCTTTATTGAGACACTCAGTTTGTTCCAGTGGTTCAATGGCTGATTTCTTTGCGTCCAACTGGGCATATAATTCCTAAAAACAAGTCATGGAAGTCAGTAAATATAAATTCAGTCCCTCACTCATTCATTAATTTCCTTCCTTCCAGTAACATTATATCCCAAGAATATGTTTTAAAAATTTCATTTGCATACAGAGAAACTAAGGTGCTGAAAGATTGAAAGACTTTTTTTTTCCACTGGAATCATGTTAAAATCTAGACTGAAATTGACAGTTGTCTTAGCATTTAATAGCAATTAGATCTTCCTATTGTGTTAAAAGGTTCTGTAGTGTCTAAAGGAAGATTTCTCTCTTTTTGTTCCAAGATTTCTCTCTTTTTGTTCCAGGTTGTTCTACATTTGCAGACACTCTGTTTATATACATCCTTTATATATGATACTTTTTTTTTTTTTTAATTCACATACATCACCCTTCTTTCCTGTTTGAAATACACGTTTATAGTCATGTAAACTTAGCTAAAATTGTAGGGGTCATTTTTTTTTTTTTAAACATGGCCATGTATTGGATTTTTAGACTATATACCTATAAGTACATAAATATATAAACATAGCTAGGTAAACACCGCTGTAAAAAAAAACAAAGAAGTACCCCGTAATGTTGATAATTAGGAAAAATAAAAGAAATTTATCAGAATCTGAAGAATACATACAACTAAGAACAGAAGTGAGAAGTCAGACTCTCCAAATAGTGTTACTGAATAAGTTTTTAGGAACTTCGTGAAAAAGACTAATGCTCATTAAACTCTTCCACTTTTTAAATGGAAAGATTTATACAACTTTACTGATTAGTACATAATTATATAGTTACCAAATTGATCATCAGGCAAAGGTTAAATAAGACTTTTCATTCTGTACAAGCAAGTTTCTGGTAATTAAAATATATTGTATTGCACTGGATAAATGATGCAATCATGTTGTCAATGTTTTTCTTGTTTCCATACCTCTATCTCCTTTAATTGTTCATTTCTTAACACGACATCTAATTCTAAAGGTTGATTTTGCAGCTCATTGACTTTATGCTCATCGTCAGTGTTTTTCATGCTTTCTTGAACATTGAGAGAAAGTTGTTTTGACAAAACCATTTCCACAGCTGAATTCTGAAAACATAAAAAGATTAATTGCCGAATGGCCTACCTTCCAAATAAATAATTTTTCCTTTTCTTGGTGAAAACATTCTAGTTCCTTCTATTTACTCAGATTAACGGCTTTCAAAAAGTACATTTGGGGCACTATCAAAGATGATTTTCTTCATGCAATATTTAATGCCGACATTGATATCCCAAGGAAAAAGTTTTTTGAAAAGATAGGATAGGATCTATAATTATATCACAAGGCAAAATCTAGTCTTAAAGAAAACAGATACGGAAAAAACAAAAATTCTAAAATCTATACTTAGTATTCACTGTGATGCCAGAGGGCAGGACAAGTAACAGGCATTCAGTGTTACCTATGGGTAGCTGAACATGGTAAGTGGATAGATGGCAGGAACACCCAGATTGCATGATATTAACAACGGATTATGGCTTAAACAAATGAATAGTAAGAATTCCAACCTGGGTAAGGCAGAACGGGTTATACAGGTAGTAATTTGAAAGCTGTACCAACTGGATTTTCTCATAGGATTCACAGAGATGGCATCTGCATTCATTTATTTGTTCTTTTCACAAATATTTGTTGAGTATTTACGCGTACCAGGTACCATGACCGTCATTTTAAGAGATTTCCATTATTTTGCTAGGGTATTAGTTTTTATTTTCAGGTTACTTTATAAATGAAGTTCCATTTGATTGTGCCGTATACTTTCACGTCAGTAAGGTCTGCATTAGTAAGTCTGTGAAGAGAATGTGTCCACATCCCCAAACAAGGTAGAAATTGCTATTGTAAAAGTACCGCCTAGATAGCAATATAAAATGTTAAGCGAAAGGGAAACTGGGTAAGAGATCTACGAAACCTTTCTGTACCCTCTCTGCAACATTTCCATCAATGTAAGACGGTTGTAAAGTTAAAAGATTATTTAAATAAAACAGATGCTTTATGTGTCCGGAGCTTCACCAAAACTAACTGGTAAGAAAATTCAGCTGACCAGGTGACTGGTTTTGATTAGTTGGCACTTAGCACCAGTTACTTCTTTCAAGAGGCTAACAAATGATTACAATGATTCCGAAAACTTCCTCCATTCCCAACAATTTATTCATGCAAACTACAGTTAAAAACCTACAGGGAAGACAGCATCTCAGGAGGAAAGATTCAGGAAGGCTACGAGAGGGAAAGAGAAAGGTGCCATACCACAGGTTCCATCAGCCCATGGGCACTCCTTGCCGTGAGCCACAACCACGGGAGGTGGACGCCTGCCTCCCGCCTGTTACTCCCACAAGTCCACCCAGAACAAGAGCGTCTGAGGTAAAGGCTGAGATATTAGACCCTAGGAAAACTTTACGTATTATTAACCATCTACTAAGAATTCAGAGCTCTTGGTCTGTCTTACCTCATAAACCAGTGACTTGAGGACTAGAAACAATCAGCCATTTGTAATCTATCTTTGGTGGCCAGAGAGAGCATTCTGAAAAACCTGAAATCACCCCTAAACACCATTTGTCTACTAACCCCAAAAGCCATGTTTTGACCTTGGCAGAACATCCAACGGAATCCCTCAAATGGACGTTTCAGATTTAAAAGGTAACATTCTCTTGCTCATGCCCAGAGAGGTTGGAACACAGACTCAAGGTCCTGATTGGCTCATGGGAAGATTCTTTTGGAATCAGTCATCTCTGCTCATCACCCTTTACTGTATTTTATTTTGATTTGGCAGGCTCACTTGAACAACTTTCTTTTAAATAGAAGATATTTCAAACATAGTTAGAAGAACAAAATATGACCTACAGTCATTAATCGTGATACAGATATAAGTAATGTAATCTTCCATACCACAAATACAATCAAATATAATTGAAAGCCCAGTCCTCATCCTTCTTTCATCTCTTCCTTCCCAGAGGTAACCACTATTTTGAAATATACACATACATTTTCAAAAGTATGTATTTATTTAAGTCATCTCTCTGTCCAACGTGGGGCTCTAACTCATGACCCTGAGATCAAGAGTCACGTGCTCTATGAACGGAGCCAACCAGGCATCCACACACACACATTTTTACACTTTTATTATATATGTCATTCATACAGTATTGTCTTATGTATTTTAATTCCTATAAAACTGGAATTATGTATTATCATTTTATAGCTTTTCCATTCAACAGTATGCTTGGGGATGTATTCATGGTGACAGAAAAATCTAATACAGTCATTTTACCTTTTATACTGTTCTACTGTCTGCATGAACATGACTTATTTATCTGTCAGGCTACTGTGAACATAATATTGTTTCCAGTTTTTCTTATTACAGATATATTGCTCTGACACACACTTTTGTGTCAGTCTTCTTGCACATTTGTGTGACTTTCTTTGGGATGTTTTCCTAGGACTAAAATTACTCCTTTTAAGTAATAGATAGCTATTGATTTGTTCTCCAAACTGAATTATAGTTTTGATTCCCACCAGCATGGTAAAAGAATTCGTATTTTCCCTAATCCTCTCTGATATTTGATGCTAACAGACTTTAATTTCTGCCAATATAATGCATGTGAAATTGATATCATTATTGTTTTAATGGATTTCTCTGATGGCTAATAAGACAGAGCTACTCTCTGGGCACCCCAGTGGTTCAGTCGGTCGAGTGTCCAACCGACTGGAGTTTGAGCCCCGCATTCATTCTGTGCGGACAGCTCAGATCCTGCTTCGGATCCTCTGTCTCCCTCTCTCTCTGCTCCTCCCCTACTTGCTCTCTCTCTCTCTCTCTCTCAAAACTAAATATACATTTAAAAAAAAAAAAAAAAGACTACTCTCCTAGAAGAAAACATGAGCAGTAAGCTCTTTGACATCAGTCTTAGCAATATTTTATTGGATTAGTCTTCTGAGGCAAAGGCAAAAACACTAAAATAAACAAATGGGACTACATCAAACTAAAAGGCTTTTGCACAGGGGCACCTGAGTGGCTCAGTCAGTCGAACAGGTCATGATCTCGCGGTTTGTGCGAGCTCGAGTCCCATGTCAGACGCTGTGCTGGCAGCTCAGAGCCTGGAGCCTGCTTCAGAGTCTGTGTCTCCTCCTCTCTCTGTCCCTCCCCTGCTCATGCTCTGTCTCTCTCTGTCTCTCAATAATAAATAAACATGACAAAAAATAATAAAATAAAATAATTAAAAAATAAAAGGCTTTTGCACAGCGAATGAAACCATCAACAAAGCAAAAAGGTAACCTACCAAAAGGAAGAAGATATTTGCAAGTCGTACACTCGTTAATGGGTTAACAGCCAAAACATACAAAGAATTTATACAATTTATTAAAAAAAAAAACCAATCTGATTAAAAAAATGGGCAGAGGACATGAACACACATTTTTGTCCAAAGAAGACATCCAGGAGGCCAACAGGCACATGAAAGATGCTCAACGTCACTTACCACCAGGGAAATGCAAATCAAAACCACAATGAGATACCACCTCACACCTGTCAGACCGGCTATTACTAAAAAGGCAAAACATTACAAGTGTTGGTGAGAACGTGGAGAAAAGGGAACCCTCAAAAGCTACTGAGAGGAATGTAAGTTGGTTCAGTCACTATGGAAAACATTACGAAGATTCTTCAAAAAATTTAAAGTAAATGTATCATATGTTCCAGCGATCCCACTTCTGGGTATTTATCTGAAGAGAACAAAAACACAAATTTGAAGAGCTATGTGTAGCCTTAGGCTCGCTACAGCATAATTTACAACAGCCAAGATGTGGGAGCTGCTTAAGTGTCCCTCAGCAGATACATGGATAAAGAAAGCGTAGTGTACCTATGTAAGGAGTATCGCTCAGTCATAAAGAAGAATAAAATCTTTATAAAAGCTTCCTAAAGATAAGCATCCATCATCACCACTAGAGACAAAATGAAAGGCATATCAACACAGTCTCAGGGGCTGCCTCCTCCTGTTAGCATGATGTCCACAATGTTAACATGACCCGTAAGGCACTTGTGACTCGGACAGCCTCGCCTACCTCTCAGGCCTCACCTGTGTCGCTCTCCTCTTTCCTCCACCCTCTCGTTCATCCTTTCTAACTCCTCATGCTCTCTCTCCCGTCACAAGAGGAAATTCTACTTCCTCTTTCAAAAATGCTCCCAACATCCAGCCCTGAGCTCTGTTAATTCCAAGCCACCCTTCGGGTCTCAGTTCAAATGTTGTTTCCTTACGCAAGCTCTGACTACAGTTCGCGTCAGAATCCTTTATTATAGACGATCATGGAAATGGGTTCCTCCATTTAGTTCCTGTAATTAGGCTCTCATTAGTTACTTGATGGATGTGTGTCTCCTCCTCTAGACTAGAAGCTCAATGAGAAGAGAGACTATGTCTATTTTTGTTCACCTCTGAACCCTCACTGTCTGCTCAATAAATTTTGACTGAGTGGACGTAGAGACGAATTAATATTAGACAAAAAATAAGAGAGTTTTGTTTAGTCTTTGCTTGTTAAGATGAACCATCTGTGGATTATACAGCAGATTACACAGCAATTGAGGATCCGCCGAACTAGGTCTGCCAATCTAGCTGTCGTTGATCTGCTATCTCCTAGGAATGACAGAAACAGGATTTGGTGGGTTTACCGAGAGTAGAGAAAGTTCAAAATAGGCACAAGAACACAGTAAGGGGTCCACTGAGGTCAGACAGCACATTAGCATATTAGACCTCAATTAACAACCCACATAACACAGTCAATAAAATGGTGGGGTAAGCCACCAAGCATCAGGCTGGGTAGAGGACAGCTGTGTTCTAGTCCCAGCACTGCCAGAATACGAATTTGGCCAATTAACATCTCTCACTTCCCTCACCTAAAACACAAGAGTTAGGCTAGAGAGTTTCTAAGGTCCCTCAGCCTAAGATTTCAGGACTTCAGAACATGCTCTCAAACACATGCTGCTCAGAGATGTCAACACCATGTACCCTATGTAGGTTACTTGGTGTCCTGTAAAGGAACAAATCTTAGGTTATAAAAAATACCTCTAGAGTAAGAAGCAAGATTTACATACGGGCCAAAAAGAGGCAAAGTAATACGCTTTGAAGACAGAGCCGGCATATAGCCCAACTATGTGTTCCATTTCAAAATTTTTTTTTACTGTGTTATCAGGATAAACAATACCCCAAATAGACATCATTTACCCCAGGATTGAAAACTGTTTATCCAGTGAGTGGTTTTCCTTCTCACTCTAGTACGGACTCCACTGTATTTCTGGGGGCTCACCCACAGCGGGATACCTTTGTCTGTATCTGTGACCATCTACTTTCCAGAATTTCTCTGGATGCTTCTTAAACACTGAAATTATAAATGCTCAGAAATTTTTGAAAAGAACAAAAAACCAACTCAGACATACTGACAATTATACCTAATGACAAGGAATTTAAAGAAGTAATTATAGACAAAAAGTTTTTTGAGGGAGCAATTATGTCATGCAGGTTGACATGTGGAAGGGAGGGGGCAGGGAAGAACACTTAATACCAGTTAATATGTAATGTTACTTTATGAGTTTTTAGAATAATAACAAACCCAGAATGTATTACTTTCCTGTTTTTCCTCTTTATCATTTCCCTTTATGGACATCTAAAATCTTAAAAGATTAGTCAGTCTTCACTTTTTATCATACCCTGATTTGTTACTTTACTTCACCTACATGGGGCGGCGGGGGGGGGGGGGGGGGGGGGGGGGGGGGGGGGGGGATAGAAGGCAGTTTTGCCTTTTCATATTCAAAAACTCTTAGAAATTCATCTCTATAAAAATATCCAGTAAGATATTTGATCATAAGCACCCCTACCCTTCAGTCTGTATAATTTCTCTTGCCTCCAGCTTTGCCTTAATATTTTAACTTTTTTTTGATGTTTATTTTTGAGAGAGAGACAGAGCGTGAGTGGGGGAGGCACAGAGAGAGAGGGAGACACAGAATCTGAAGCAGGCTCCAGGCTCTGAGCTGTCAGCACAGAGCCCAATGGGGGGCTCGAACTCACAACCTTTGAAATCATGACCTGAGCCGAAGTCAGATGCTTAACCGACTGAGCCACTCAGGCGCCCCAATTAATATTTTTAGATATTAAAGAAAAAGTTAGCCAAAGGTCCAGATCTAAGTTATCCTCTAAATTTCACCTAAAATGAAATTCTTAGCAATGCATGCGGTAATGGCAATTTTTGAAAAGTGCAATCATACTTTCTAAATTTTTTTTTTCAACATTTATTTATTTTTGAGACAGAGAGAGAGAGCATGAACAGGGGAGGGTCAGAGAAAGAGGGAGACACAGAATCTGAAACAGGCTCCAGGCTCTGAGCTGTCAGCACAGAGCCTGATGCGGGGCTCGAACTCGCGGACCGCGAGATCATGACCTGAGCCAAAGTCGGCCGCTTAACCGACTGAGCCACCCAGGCGCCCCTGAAAAGTGCAATCATACTTTCAACAAAACTCTAAGATCACATGAAATTTACTAAAGAAAAAAGTAGAAGAAAATAAAAACTTCCTAAAAATTCTTCTGGAGACGATTTTAAATAATCTGATAAAAGCCCTTCCAAATTCCAAAAAGGCATGTGAAGTGAGCATTAATTAGATATTTAATTAGTGTTATATTTTAAGCTGTGACAACTGTATGCCCATATTCTAGCAGAATGACTAGTACAAAAGAGGCCTCAATGGATGTTTTTAATGAATTAAGTGCTTGTTTTCACTACCACAAGAGTTTCTGATTAATTACATTTATAATTCAGTAAATTGTGCTTTTATGTGCTCTATGCACTCAGTATATAGAGATTCCTGCTTAAGTAATTTACCCTCATCTTATATGTGTCTATACATGTTTTGATCACTTTTACTAGCTGTTCAATGTTAAAATTGTTCTGGGTCTTACATAGTCTAATGTTACACAGAAAAAAGTAAATACAGCCAGTACGTAGAGTGGAGAAAATAAGAAGCACACATTCAGAGGGGGAAAAAAAAAAAAAAGATTCATGTTACAAAAGAGTAAAAAGTAATCATGATAAAATATTACTAGAGAATTAAAACCAGTTTCCTCTATCCTAGACCTGTGAAAATTATTTGAAAACTTAAGTACCTCTATAATGGTTTTAACTTTAAAAATAGCTTATCTTGGGGAGCCTGGGTGACTCAGTCAGGTAAGCGTCTGACTTCAGCTCAGGTCATGACCTCGTGGTTTGCAAGTTCGAGTCCCGCATGGGGCTCTCTGCTGTCAGCACAGAGCCCTCTTTGGATTTTCTGTCCTCTCTCTCTGCCCCTCCCTCACTTGCTCATGTGCACACACTCTCTCTCTCTCCCTCTCTGTCTCTCTCTCTTTCAAAAATAAATAAACATTAAAAAAATAGCTTATTTCCTCCTTCACAAACACATGAATCTTCTGACCATATGCAAGACATCACAAATAAAAATTTATATTAGAATATATTTGTCTTACATGATTCAATGGAAAAAAACCTTAATGAAGCATCATAAATTATAAATAACTCATCATTCAAGATTAAGTAAAAGCTTAATAAACTATAAAAGTTCTGATTATTGGATTATGATCTTTAGTTTTCAATACTCTACTGAATTTTGGGTGCTCACAGCCAAAATGGGTCTGAGAAGCTAATTTTAAAAGTTATTAAGCAATTCCCTTTAGCAACATCATGCATTAGGATAGAAAACACTCAGCTATATATATTTTTTTACTTATCTACTGCTCTTTAAATACCGTTAAGAGTTTCTTTTATACATACAACTCAAGAGTCGCATGCACGGGCCCTTCATTCTTTAAGACATTTTCCTTAACCGTGTCTGACATGACAAGTGGGATTTAGTAAGTCCTCCTCATGGCCAGAGAGATGCTCTATTGGCATTTAACCTTGTTTTACACATTTCTAGAGATTGCTCTCTGGTTCCTATAATCTTCCATGCATTTCTGTTTTAAGAAGACAACAGAAGGGGCGCCTGGGTGGCTCTGTTGGTTAATAGTCCGACTTTGGCTCAGGTCGTGACCTCACGGCTCGTGAGTTCGAGCCCTGCGTTGGGCTCTGTGCTGACCGCTTACAGCCTGGAGCCTGCTTCAGATTCTATGTCTCCCTTTCTCTCTGCCCTCTCCCCCATTCACGCTCTGTCTTTGGTCTCTCAAAAATAAATAAACGTTAAAAAAAAAAATTTAAGAAGACAACAGAAGCGTACGCTCTTTTCATCGCTGTTGATCGCGTACTCCGTAAAAGGCCGATGAGGACTCAAGCCTGAATGGTCTGATCTTTGCTATGGTCCCACTGGACCCTGGATTGTGAGAGGCTGCCTAACAGGAAGACGCTTTCAAATACAGTATACTGGATGGTTCTTTGTGCCTTTTCCATTTCAATCTCTAACCTATGAGAAAGAACTTTAAGAGCCACAGGAAAATGTACCCATTTGGTTTAGAAAGAAAACAAAACAACATTCTTCTTTCTTCTCCCCCGGGGAAATTAGGAGGCTGAATGTTGATGTTCTCACACCAAACGATCTGACAACATTTAAAAATGCATTTGCAGTAGAGGGTTAACATGAGAAGAAAAAGAAAGGAACCTATCCTTTCAAACAGTCTCTGATTTCATTATAAAATCAACCAAAAAAAAAAAAAAAAAAAAAAAAAAAAAAAATGGGGCTCTTGGATTTTTTTTTTCCCTCAGAAAATGGGTAGAACACATTTTCTTTTCTTTTGCCTTTTCTAATTTGCCTTTGTGCTCTTGACCCAAGAAACGGTATCTGATTACATATCAGAGAGAATAATCAACCCAAGTTGATGACTGACATTTTAACAGACTAAACAGTAATATTGCACCACCGAAAAGCTGAACAGTTTTCTAAGGGCTCTTTTCACAAGTGGGCATCATAAATAGCCAGCACATTGAGGGTTTAATTATGAAATCAGAAGGCTTGATTCACTACCCTCTTTTCAGAGCCCAACACCTCTTCTTTCTCAGACGCGATGTCTTAGAGAGGCAATCACAAGCCCTTACCTTGTTTATTTCCCAATCTTGCTCCAATTTTTCCAGTACAGCTGAGTCCTGAGTGGACTCCTGCACATCACAAGTGACCTCCTCCTCTCTGCCTGGCAGACTAAACTTTTCTTTCTGTTCTGTTGAGCGTTTTGATTGGAGAATGCTATGAAGACAATTTTCTGTCTCCTGCTTAGCAGATTCAAGTCGGTTTTCCAAATCCTTTTGTTTACACTTAAGTGATTTTATATCATCTTTAATAATCTTCTGTCCCACTGAAGATGTATTTTTCTTGATGGATTTTGCTAAAGCTAAAATCTTCTCCAATGTGCCATCTTGTAAACTGAGTCTATTCTCTAGTTCCTGTAAGTGGAAAAAAGATGATCACACAAAGTATTTCCATTGTCACAAGAGTTCATTGACTTTTGGAAATCACAGAGTATTCTTCTCTAGCAGTGCAAAGTATAATAAATTTACCAATTCATATCACAAAGAAAAACTTTGGGCAAGATTTAAATCACTGTAGCATCCCAGATCAAAACCTCCAACAGACTGTATAAGATACTAAAAGTCTATAAGAAGTAACAAAGAAAATTTCATAACACAGTTCCCAGAACGTTGGAGGCAGTCAACATATATTTGTTAAGTATGTATTTTGTTCAAGATACAGCCTTTTTACACAAAATACTAAATAATAAGGGCTTACTTTGTGCAAAGCATTGAAAAAAATAGAAGAATCATTTAGAATGTGCCCACATGAATCTAGTGTTAATATTTAAAATTCAGAGCAAAACTTTAATCAATCTATCCAATGCAATATCTTAAATATAGCAGGAACCCAAATAATATTTACTAAATGCATGAACAAATCAGGCTAATTTGAGAACTCAAGACTCAAATGGCATTTGAGGTACTATAGCAGTTACTGATGTTACTATTGAAATAGAGTTAAGACTTAAAGTTGCTACGTGAACTAGATAGTATTTATTAGTCACTATCCTAATAGACTACACAGTATTTACTCATTCATTCATTTATTCATTCATTCATTCAACCAGCCTATCATGGTAGGCTTTTTAAAAAGACTACACAGTATTCACTCATTCATTCATTTATTCATTCATTCATTCAACCAGCCTATCATGGTAGGCTTTTTAAAAATTGTCCTTTATGTTTTAAGTAATGTCTACACCCAATGTGGGGCTCAAACTCACAACCCTGAGATCAAGAGTTGCACACTCTACCAACCAAGCCAGCCAGGCGCCCCTATCATGATAGGTTTTGAAGTTGCATAGATGAGTAAAATTCAGTCCCATCAGGTTCCTATAATCTAGTGAGAGACACAGAAGTAAACAGACAATTATATTAGAATGTGAAAAGATCTATGCTAACAAATACACACAGGTCCAGATTGCATTTTAGAAAGATCTGGCGCGGCCAAGGGGATGTTGCAATAGAGAGGGTGACAAGTGCAGGCAGAGAGCCCACCCACAAGTCGAATGCAGGGGTCTGTTTGCTGAGGGTCTGCCCTAAGGAGGCAATAACGGGGGTCTTGGGGAAGTAACAAACTTTACAGATATTCCAGAGATGAAAGAGACAACATTTGGTGTCTGACTAGATTGAGGGATCTGGGAAAGCGTGGATAACCAGGATTCTGACTTGAACCTTGGAGAGATGGGAGAAATATTCACAGTCAGAGAATACGGAAGAAAAAGCAGGCCTATTGGTTGGGAGCTGGGAGACAGAGAAAGGAAAGTTGCTGTGTTATTTTCTGGACCTGCTGAACCACAGATAACTGCACGATATCCCAGTGGAGTTTGTCCACTGGGGTCAGAAGACCTGAATTGTAGCCCCTACTCTGTCATTTAACCTGATGACCCTGGAAGTCCCTCATCTCTCCAGAACCCAGCTTATCACGTGTAAAGTGTGGGGTCTGAACTTGATGGCCTCTGAGATTCCTTCTGTCTATATCAGAGGTTCTATGTTAATTTTGTAGCAGGAGCCTGACATATATTTGTTAAGTATGACATATATTTGTTAAAAAGGGAAGCAGCCCTGTCACACTATCAGGCCATGGAGGAGAAGGCTTGTGTGATTCCCAGATCCCTGAAAGAAAGAGATGAGGAATTCCGACACTCAGGCCACCAGCGCTGTTCTGAGACTCACCCCACGAAATCTCCAGTTAAGGAGCTGTTAAAGAAAGAGCCGCTTTACTTTGTGACAAGAAGTCACCTTGCAGGCCTGCTTGTTGGCAAAGCAGAGAGTGAGAATCCAAGGAACATGTTTTGAGGACGTGGGTAAAGCACGTGTGATCCTCACCGTATGAGGCTAGGTGCTGTTGGACTTTGGGAGGGGATTTTGGAAGCCTTACATCTGGAGACTGCTCTAATTTACAGCGTGAGTATATAGGTTAATAAGGCACAAATTCTGTAACTCCCATCTGCCCCTGATAAAGAATGCGAAACTGAAGCATTTCCCTCCTGGTCTTGCTGCATACTACGCATCCTTTGACTAGTCAGTATCTGCTGGGGTCACATGCGGGCTCTAAAACAAAGATCTCCGGGAGGTACAGACTGGTCACGGGTGGAACTGTCTCTGAGGCTCCAGAGTGCAGGGAAATGTTTAAGTCAAATTATAAATGGATTTGGTCACTAAAGAAGAACATCCCGGGGGCGCCTGGGTGGCTCAGTCAATTGAGCATCCGACTTCGGCTTAAGTCATAATCTCGCAACTTGTGAGTTCGAGCCCCGCATTGGGCTCTGTGCTGATGGCTCGGAGCCTGGAGCCTGCTTCGGATTCTGTGTCTCCTTCTCTCTCTGCCCCTCCCCCGCTTGTGCTCTGTCTTTCTCTATCAAAAATAAATAAAATATTAAAAAAAAAAAAAAAA